TAATTAATGAAATCACGTACTTTTTAGGTTTATAACAAACATACGCAAATGCAAAACTTTACAATATTAGTAAGATAACACATCTTAAATAAATAAAAACTTTATTCATGACAGAAATAGGTTGTGACAAAATTCATCTATCGCTAGTTCCCACACATGGGAGTCCCTGTTGAGGGTAACTAGACGACAATTATTCCGTGGAACATTGTTTAAAACAGTTTTTTAAGAAAAAGTTGTTTTAGTGTTACTACTTCACAAATCAAACACAAGTCGTATAAGACATTAAATATGCGTGAATGTGTTAGTATGTGAATGGCGGTGAGTGTGTGTGTGTGTGTGTTTGTATTTGAAAGTTGTTAAAGGCGTGCGTTATGTCTTCTAGGATTATAATTTATAGAACTTGTCGATCAACACATGTCGTTCGTGTGACATGCAATTATTTTTCGTACGCTCGCCTAGTTTCAATTCATTAGCCTTAATAGTTTGATTACGTGGGCCACCGCTCTGTGAGTAAATATTTAATAAAAGAAAAAATACACGTCATATACCAAAAAATTTTTATAGACCACATTTAAAAAATTAAAAAAAAATGTTTTTTGAAGTATATATTTTTTGTTTTCAAAAATGTGAATTTTTTTCTGTTGTTACAAATATTTACTTTTCCAAATTTTTTTCTTTATTCCCAATAGTTTTTTTAACCTTATTCTAAACTCTTCTATCCTCCACTTTTAGAAAATGTCATTTTTACCTCCGTTTTCAAAATTAATTTTCCCTCTTAATATCGTCTGAAAAAAATGTACTACTCCAGTTTGGCAAGTACTTTAAAGTTACCTTTAATACGGATTCTACAGTCTATCACTATCTTATTTTTGCCTAGAATTTTTTTTGTTAAGCAAAGTCTGTTTTAACACTCTTTGAAATTACAACAAATGATTCTACACCCAAACTCTTACCACAGCTGGTTTAAATAAAACTTCATAAAATGGAGGAGACAATAGTACGCTTATGACTACGGACGCAAATAAGTAAATAGAAGTTTCTTTTTTATGATTAGATTTATTACTTTTCTTATAAAAGATGTTCAATTCCGTCCTTCTCTACAGGCTCGACATCTCCTTAAAAAGATCGTGAAATAAGCCAATTCCATTTTCACAATTCTACTGCTTCCCTATTCTCTGTCTAAGCTTTTACATTTTGAATCGACTTGGAATAGACTTTTTCCTTACTGCTCCCCAGTAAAAAAAATCAAGAGGATATAAATCGGTGAGCGCCCTCCACCCCCCTTCCATCTGTCTGGATACTCCTCGTTAAGGTGGTTTCGAACTAAGCGCTTATGCGCTATAACCATCTCTAACCACATATCTCGTAAAATATAAGAGTCTCCAAAATTGGATATTTTGTAAAAATCTAAATAAATTTCAGCATTTAAAACTTCTGGTAACTCAAAAGGCCCTATGACTTTTCCGTTAAATTCATCCATTTAACTTTGAAACGGTACTGTGATCTGTCTGGTTTAATTATTTTCGACTGCCACTGTGACTTTAGTAGTAGTACTTTGGTTGTAGTTTGGTACAATACCTACCTAGTCCAGGGAAAGAAGGTTTCCTGTAAAATCCAATCCAACACATCTAACCGCCAAAACACCACGAAAAGTGCTAGAAACGGGGCTGCGCTGACCTGTAGTAAATATACATATTCAATAGGCCCGACTAAACTCTTGTTGCTAAAACTAAATTATTAAACTACATAATTTAAGTGAAAATTGTAAAGCCTTAATAAAATGATAACTTAAACATTATTTATCATCTTTATAATTTTAAAATTCTGTTCTAATAACACATAATTATTATGTCCATTTCGGGAAAATCTTTTCCAACATTTTATTGCCATAAAGTGCCGCCGCAGAAAATGGCCGTTTAATAACGGTGACCGCTAATGGCGGGCAGCTTGTTGCATAATAATAAATATTAGGCAAGTTAAGATAACTTTAAATAATGACTAGGCGAGATAGCAGGTGGAGGTAAGCGCTGCAAAGTGCATTCTAGAAGACAGAGTGGGGGCAAAAAGGGAGGCAGGGGCTTTATTGATCCCCGCCCGTCGCGCCATGCTGTGACCGAATGTGACCCCCGGCAACATTATCTGCCCTTCAGTGATCTTTCAATCTTCATCAATTTTTCCTGCAACACAACAAAGCGTTATTGATATAGGCCTCAGTATATTGGGCTATTATTTCTGTATTTGTATGTATATTATTAAGAATAAAAATATTACGCGTTGATAAATCGTATGGCTTTTTTGTTATTGATCTTTTTATATATAATTTCAGTCGTAATATATATAACATGTTAAACAGTATATAATACAGTAACTGTTTATTAATTATATAATATTTAATATATTTTTTTTTATGATGTGGTAAAATCTATGAGCAAGCAAGTACGAACAAAACGTATATAATATAATTACAGCGCTAACTTTATATAATAATTATTCAGATTTCCAGACACTAAAGTATTACTTTGACCTACGCTAAGGCTTATGAACGTGCCCTTACTTTAGTACATTGAACATTCAGTAAGTTGATGCTAAGCGAGTCGGTCGTTTGACTGTATAGCGGTATATTTTGATATTTCGGTGAACTTAATCAGCAAGTGAACATATTGAAGCTTTTTTAGTGTTAAAATATACTAAAAAAAATTAATTTAAAAATTTAATTTCATAAACAAATTGTTACAAAAAAAGGGTGCGTGTACTTATGTACGCGCGTAAGAAGTTATACTTCTTTGGCATTATTAAAAATAGTTTTTGATTGCATGCAAATAATTAATTACAATTAAATAATCAAAGACTGGAAAAGGAGTCATTAAAGTCAATAAAGTTCAGTTTACATTTGAAAAATTAATTAAATAAATATTTATTATTATTCTCTTACATTAAACAAATAAAACACTATTTATCTTTAAAAATATTTTTATTTCATTATACTATTTATTTTTAAGTGACTCTAATGTCTTCATCAGAATTTCGGTTTGTAATTTTAAATTAATCATTACTTGGTTGTGCATCTACGAGGTTTCTCCAAAACTAAAACTACCTACTACTTGCTTTCTGCAACAAATAAGAGAATATTAATTTAAGCTCTGTCCATGCAAAACTTAAAATTTTTTATAATTCATATTATAAAATTTTTAACACATTTATATTAATATAATTATATAAATGTGTTAATAATATAATTTGTAGCACATGCTACAGACCTGGATAGCAACTTTCTTTTATTCTATTTAGAGATAGAGATAATTTAAATATAATACCGGTGTCTTCCTTGTAGGTTTCTTTGGAGTTGTTTGGGGATTCTTGTTGTTCAGTTCGACATGATTTTCTTTAACCTTTAATCCTACAAAATAATGAAATTGTTAAGTTATGTTGTCACTGTTGTGCACACCTTTGTTTGGCTTTTTTAGTATTCAAGTTATGTCAAAACTGATTTATTACCTTGTCATTGTTGGCTTTATTTGCTTTTGGGATATCAATTGTTTCCAAAATGATTTTATTTGTAATATCCTGAAATATATAAATGACATCTATTAATTTAAGTATCATGGTGAGTGGTTCGCACTCAGGTATTAAGGTGTATTATACCCACTGTCCATTATAAGTGGGAATGGGCTCACTTCTGGCCTGACTGACAGAGTTTCGGTACTACAAGTGCAACATGGATGTTTTGAGGTATTACAATATCTCTAACTACCCTGTAGGGGAATAAAGTACTGTTGTGAGCATATGCCTATGCTTGAAAGGTTGAACCTTGAACATCACCATACATCATATTTATAATTAACATTCCTACCTCGACACCATCACAATCAAATTCATTGAAATCTACTTCAAACCGTTGCGGTATCATCTCTGCCATATCCATTGTGTCTCGAGAAGGTGATGGTGGCTTTGTTCCACCTCCAGTTTTTCATGTTTCACGGCGATAAGCTGATTCAATTTAGTGCACTTCCACTGATTCATCAATTGTTTTTTGTCTCTTGTCCATATATTTGCTAGATTAAATCTGAAAAATTACATGTTTTGATTAAATAATGTGGTCATTTTTTTGAGATGCAGGTACTTATTAAAATGTTTACTTCTCTGTTATATCGCTCCAAGCCTTCATTTTCTCCTTATTAGTATTCGTGCTTAAATCTTTGTTCTCAATTATTGATATATAGGGTCGTAGAATATTTCTAAAAAGTTGCTGTAACAAACGCAATAAACAAAAGCAATGAATAATGGTTCATGTTTCAGTTTTAATCAACAATAATACTCGATAATACATACGGATAGTTAACCTCAATTGTATTGGAGCACTCAGGAAGGTTGGCACAGTTTTTTCACAAATATTTTATCATATTAATTAGTTTTGATTTAGATTCAATTTAAATCACTTCTGATTATAATTCAGACGCACATATAAAAATAAAAACTCCTATATTTGTTTAAAAGGTAAATGTCATTGTCAGATGTCATGGTCATTCAAAATTCTTGTTAAGCTGCTAAGCTAAGAAATAGAATATGCGTGAAGTTAGCTTCACGCATATTCTATTTTCTTTACTTGTAGATTGTCTTATTCCCATCTCGCTCGCGCACGCTATATCACACTCCCAATTTTGTGTCATAGGTGCGCGCGCATCGTAAAATTTCACTCTCATCAATTTTTCATAACGCGCCTAAAGAAGTACAACTTCAAAAACTTCTTTATTTCAAACTGGCGACGAAGTTTATGAATGTCAAATAAGAAATAACAATTTAGAGTTGTCAAATGTCAATCCTATGACCTATCGCTTTATATTATTCTAAATTCTATTCTATTCAGTTTTTGCAGAATTCCGAGCCGTGTAGGTTGTAGATTTTTGAACTTTGTTATTTATTTATATTATGAAGATTGGATAAAAAATTCGTCTCATAACTTCATTCTTTCTCATCTCAAGGTATAAGTGTCTACTAACATAATGGAGGACGGTATAAACAAACCATACAAAATATGTGATGTGAATCGCGAAAAGAAGAAAGGAATTGTGGCTTCTACATTAGAAGACTTGTTGACTAAAGTCCCAGAGAAGCTTGGTTTGCCCGCTGAAAACTTAACTGTAGTTTTGGAATGCGATGGAACTGAAGTAGATGATGAGGAATACTTCTTCACTTTAGATCCCGATACTTCTCTCATGATTTTACATGGAACTGAAAAGTGGGCACCTAATATGCCAAAATGTCAAGTATCATTAGATCAAACTGATGAAGTTACCCTTGGAGATAAGACCCAAGTTGCAAATCTGGTGGGACGACTTCAGCACAATTTATGTCACATTTCCTTGTTAGGTGGTCAAGACTTAGAATTATTGTCAGATATGGATCCAGATAGTCTAGCCGATATTGTGACAGACAGGGACAACAGAATAATTCTAGAACACATTAAGGAAGCATCAGGAAGGTAATTACTTTTATTTCTTACAATTTAAAATGTTAGACTTGCTACGTGTAATTTTTATTTCATTTAAATACAAAATTAGTATTTGTGGTAATGATCAGGAAAAATTTGAATGAAATGTTTAGATTATATCTTTTCTCTAAAAATTATAAGGTTTTTTTAATAACAAAATTTTCTACAGGAAGTACCTAAGCATGGAAGAAAGAGCATACAAATAATATACCGGTTTCTTAATTTTTTATTATGATACCAGTTTTTTCTGGCTAAGATATAATATTAGAATTGTTAATAATTACAGGATATTGCTTGAGAAAAGACAAGCTCAAGATGCAATGGAGTTACTGAAGTTATACCATCAGAGTGTATCAAATGGTACTGAGGATGTATCACCACCAAGCCAAGAGCGTGTGTAACTGTAATATCTACCAAATAACCCTAGTATAACCCTTATTAAATTTCTTTAATGGGATGGTGTATCTCAAAAGTTTACAAAGACTTGCTTATACATTAAAATATATTATAAAATGATGCTCCATCTATAGCTGTAAAACACCAAAACTAAGGAGGCCTTGTTTAAACGCTAATAGTTATATAGAATGATTTAAAATCCTTAGTTAGATACATTATACAAATTATTTAAATGACAGGATTTGCATTATTTAGCATAGGTATAAGTGCAGTAGTAAATATAATATAAGAAGCTAATCTTATGAAACTGAGCTGTAATTGAGTGTATGGTCATTCTAAATGTAAATTATAGGTAGGTATATAATTCCATTTTACACCTTTGTATTGTAGTTTGGTGTTCTGTGTCATTATAATCAGTGTAACACATTAAAATATTTTAAAAGAAATTGGTAACATGACCTCTGTTTTTAAATTGTATTATTAGTAATATATCCGGTTTCAAATTTATTTGTCTGTAACATTGTATATGTATGTACTTCAAACCCCGTTAAGTCAATGCAGCAATAAATTGAGAAAACTAATTAAAACATTAGTCTTAAAATTACGATAATAAATGATTTTTTTGTGTATTCATGAACTTAGTCACATCGAATTAAATTATTTTATCAAATGAAATCACTGTTTCAAATAATCATTTAATATGCATTTTAAAATTAAACATACTAGTTTTGCAAAAAAATTTTTAACATAGATAGTTCTGCAGTTGTAAGCAATCAACATAGGCAGTTTTGAAAGTATAAAATATATTCTTCTATTTTACTCTACTCCTTGATTACTTTTTTTAAATGTATAATTACACTCTTAGGTCTATTTCTTCATGGATTATGGTTTCTTCATTATCAGTTTCTTCTATAACAGTCTCATTCGTCTTCTTAAGAAAATGTAATATTGTAAATAATCGTAAAAGCCCAATCTTCATCGAAATGCTTTTTTAAAAATTTCGCACATCATTTAACTTTACTGTTTTCACTGAACCAACTATAATGGGTACAATATTTTCGCACGATTACCTCTTTTACAAACGTTGCCATAATTTATTACCTCAGCATAATTAGGTTCCCCTTTAATGGCAATTCGATTGTTTTTATCCTTTTTAAAAAGAATCTTTTAGATGCATTAAATTGAAAGTGCCAAGATCCAGGTAGCTAAGCACGTTTTAAACACTTGATTTCCAATCATGAAAATGAAAGTCTGCCTGTCGAGAACAGTTCCATATTTTTTAAAAATATCAAAATATGTTTGTGGTTCCACTTACGTCTAAAGGACGTATTTCTCTTTCGATTTTCCAAATACACGGTCGGGGGCAAAAATGAATGCCCCCTACAGGGAAATCGCGTAACTTTCTTATATGACGTGGAGCTTTTGTCTGCAATTGCTAACCCAAAACATTGAGTTTTTATTTTGCCCCCACAACCGTCGCAATATTTAACATGACAAACATGTCTTCAAAATTGGTATTCATTACCGATAATACCACCGAACAATCTGATTAGATCCTTTCTTGCCTCGGTCTCTAACGGCTTTTGCAAGAGTCCCCACGCAACTTAGCGTCGTTTGCAAGTTAATACAAACTTAGCACTTTTGAAAGTGGACTGCCGATCACCATAACGACTTTTGCAAAGTATTGAGATTTCAATCCCATTTTATTCCTAACATAGCGAGTTTTATCAGAGTATGTTAAAACAGACGTTAATATTTTAAATTTGTAACCGATTGCCGCCTTGGAAAAAAAATTGTTTTTTAACTTATCGGGTTTGCAAGTGGACTACTCATGTATGTACTTCAATATTACATATTATGTATTTGTAATTTTAACAGTTTGTTTGAGTTTTACCGCTGCATATATTGAAATTATTTTAAATTCTAGATATTAAAGTTAATATTTAATACCTGACAAAAGATATGCTAGGCAGTAGTAAGTTTCTATTTCTTGTTTTTTTTGTAAACTTTTGAGAGAAAATGGGATAAGGTTGATAATCAACATCAATTTAAAAGACTGATAGTTGATAAATTTGATTTTTTATATAGTTTTACCCCTAGAATTAAGATTTATTCATTTAATTCCAAATTTGCTCAACAATTTACAACTTTAACATAAGTTATACCCATACTTGATTCCACTGCCGTAAAAATGTACTTTTGCTTAGATCTTAAGATTACATTGATCAAGGAATTGTAAGTTGGTATTGTTAGAATTTAAAAAATTTGATGTCTTTAGTATGTTGCTTGCAACTCCAAATAATTCAGTCCCTGTCTTATTACCATAGGTGTTAACTCTCCCGATAAACTTAAACTCTTTATGTAAATTTATTGATTTTATTTATATGGTGCTGTTTGTAAATAAAATAGAGTAACTAACAGCCAAGTAGACACAACATAGGTCAAATCATCAATATTATATAAAACCATTTGAAACACTAAGATTGCTTCTAAGACACAAAAATTTGTCTAACAATTAAAATCTATACATTGTATTTAAATAAAAAGTCCATTTCCATTAATATAATCACTCTCTGTAGTTAAAATTATTACTAATTTATAAAACAAATTATATATACTTTTCATTCATACAATACCAATTATTAGTAATAAAAGTGACTACTATTTTTACAATAACAATATATCCCATGTAGATGAATCCCCTTGTAAACCAGTTATTTTAAATCTTAGTATTATCAACATAAATTAGAATGCAAACTGCTCAATCTTCAATTGTTTGTGTATGTCTGTAAAATTGTAGAATGTATTATTATGTAGATCACATAAATAAAGAACTTAGTCTATAAATATTTTTAATTAAACTATATTAATTTCAGTAATTCTCTAAAAAAATAATACAAACTCTTGTTATTTAGATAAATCATTTATTAAGTCCTCACAACATTTAAAATAGTTACATTTAGAATAAAAACAAAAGTTTTGAATTATTACAAAGTATACCTTGAAAGAGCTTTGATTCCTGCTGTTTTAAATATAAGTGAGATTGTAAATACCAAGCATACATTTAAATAACCAAGCACAGATATTTTACAAAACAGTGCAAGAACTTTTCTCGCGGAATGGGTTGACTTTTTGACTAGTAAAGCCTACAAGAAGGCAATCTTCTTGTTCATGATCGCTTATGAATCGGACTATATCCGTTACGGCGACAGACACGGGAATACGTTTTATTGCAGCTTCCCGCCGCAGCTGCTCTGTAACAGCTCGCTGTTGCTGTAATGTCGACACCATCATGTCCATAACGGCAGTATCTGAGAGGCCTATGTTGACAGCCAACACAAACAACAAAGTATAACAAAAGGGCGTAGTCTTTCACTACAACCTTGATCTGCAAATAAAAGCACAAGTTTCTTGAACAGAACCACGGATTACACGTGATTTACAAATTTAAAGTAATCTACCTAAATAGTCGGTGATTAAGAACTTCGATATTTTTAATTAATATTTAAAAACTATTATTTTCACTAAATTTATTGCAAGAGGCAATTTAGATGCACAGAGTCAAGAAGTAGTCAATGTCATTGTCCGATTTTAGTGGTTGGCACTTGGCATTACATCTTTTGACACATATCTGAACGTAACAGTAGATATTTTTTTTATTTCTCGGCGGCAAATGGCTTTAACTCGACTTTGTTTGTTAAAGGTCTATCATCTGTGGCGTAAGATTTAGCCCAGCTTCTGCTATACATCTAGTACTTTTAAAGACTAGGCGGTAGGATCGAAAGACTATAGCCTGCGCCATGGGCGAAAAAAAAATAGTACTTTTAATTTAATTATTTTCTTTATCTGTGGCTTGAGCGTCAAGAATCAAAATCTGTATATGTATATAATCAAAATTTAAATCAAATCGCTATTAATAGTGTATTTTAAAGTTAATATTTTTTAGAGAAAGAAATGGAAGGCGATGCAAAAGACAATACAAAATCTTTCTCCGGGATACCGGAGGCAATATTTGTTGTAAGTATGTTTATAAAAACAGTTTTTTTTAAATAAAATTTGAGATTCTTATTTTAGGTTATATACATCTGCTAATATGAATTAATAGAATATTTTTATATACCTGGATTAAATATAATAAAATAGTATGAACTTCATGACCTAGCTCTAAAAAATTGTTATAATTACATACAAAGATGAAATCGACTTTACTTTTGATATCTGAATAATTATTTCTAGGATAATGTTGATGAATTTATGAGTATGCCTGAAAATTCTGAAGGAGTAGAAAAGGTTCTTCGAAAGCTCGACGAACAGCACGGAAAATATAAATTTATGGAATACACTTTGAACACAAAGAGGAGGCGACTGCGAGAGCAAATCCCAGACCTAGCTCGTACTCTTGAAATGATTGAAAAGCTAAAAGCACAAAAGGAAACTATGGAAACTCAGTTTTTGCTCAGTGACCAGGTTTTTGTTAAGGTAACTTTTATATTTAAATAACTGGTCATTAAATGATTGTATTTGCTTGTCAAGTAAATATGCAAGTATAAAACTTATCTATTTATAATTATATATCTTAATTAACTTTTTGTAGGCAGAGGTACCACCCACAAACAATGTGTGCTTGTGGCTTGGAGCAAATGTAATGCTTGAATACACATTAGAGGATGCTGAAAATCTTCTTACCACAAATATGGCAACAGCTACAAAAAATCTTGCTAATGTTGAACATGATTTGGACTTCTTGAGGTACTTCTAGACTTATTCTCAAGCACTTAACAGAGATATATTTGCCCTACATAAAAAATTGTAGATTGAAAGTAGATAGCTTAAGCAAAAAGTGTTACTGCTGAAGATCTGTATATTTATTTTTATTTACTGAGTTATTAAAGTTTATGTAGGTATGTGATGACACAAAACACCGGCCACACAGGATAAACATTAATAAATTTTTTTTCATCAATATAATAGTCCTCTGACTTCAGCAATAGCAAATTCTAATAGTTGCAATTCATTGGCACAGTTATTTAATGACTTCTAGTTTATATCTCTTATAGTTTAATTTTAACCTTAAATGTTTTTACATTACAGGGATCAATGGACCACTACAGAAGTAAATATGGCTCGAGTCTATAATTGGGATGTCAAGCGTCGTCAGGCGGCCAAGGCTTCAAGTTAATTCTATTATATAAAACAATTAATTGAAAAAAAGGACTCATTTATCTCCAAATTGTTCTTATATAATTTTATGAGTATCCTAATTTCTTTTTCCTAATGCACTCATACTATTTAATTAAAAATTGGTTCTAATATCCACATTTTGCTTTTTGGCTTCTTATTTATCTTTTCGGAAATAAGCTTACAAATGTAATTAAATAATTAGTCAGTGAATTATAGATTTAAGTTCTGTTAATAAACAATTTATAACTTTCAATCTTTATTAACTGAGTTGGATAATCATTGCAGATTGTAGTATTCTACAAGGATCATAAACCTCAGTTCTAAAGTTAGACTTTGAACACGGGGCAAATGGGCAGGAGGCTCATCTGCTGTTAAGTGATACAGCCTATATACCGCAAAGTCAGAGCACATTGCCACATTTGGCGAGAGATTAGCGCACTTCCCTTCGGGGACTCGAGCTTTCTGGTCTCTCGCCAAAGCTGTCCAAGGGAATTTTTGTCAGCCCTCCAATCCACCACTGCACAGGGAGGATGACTCGCTGGCCCACACCACGAAGGAAAAGGCTGAGCTTTTCGGTTGTCTGGTCGCCGTCCTACACGACTTTGGATGACCGTGGGAGATCACCACCAACCATTTTGTGGTGTAATTCTTCGATGCCTGAAATCATATTCCGTAAGAAAAGAGCGTACCAATTCTTTAAAGGCTGGCAACGCACTCGCGAGCCTTCTGGCATTGAGAGTGTCCATGGGCGGCGGTATAAGTTAACATCTGGTGGGCCTCCTGCCCGTTTGCCCTGTTCTATAAAAAAATGAATTTTTGGAAGGCCGAATACCTGGGTACTGCTATCGGTGGAACGACATTTGGAAGGCCACGGCCACCATGAAGGATGTACATTATGAAATCGCATCTATTCCTACCGCCTATGTACATACCATAGCAAGACACACAGGCATGTCGGCTAGAACAGTGCATAGATTATTAAAACGACAGAAGTTACATTCATTATCAGTGTGTGAGCACATGGTGGCCACATTGAACACAGTTGAACTCACATTTATTAAACAATATTTTTAAAATTGTAGTTGGATTATTTAATCCTTCCGTTATGCAATTAATATTTTTAAGTTACTTTTTAGCAATGAAGTAAATTTTAGTACAAAAGTATGTATGTAAGAATCGGAATTATGAAAAAAAGCTATTGACTCATTGTAATAGAATTTTATTTTGTATTAGGTAAATGCTGGAAATACAGTAATTTATACCATTTCGGAATCTCAATGCCATGTTTTTTTACACCTCGTTAGGTAAGGAAAAAATAAGTAAAACATGAAATTTGAGTTCGATCTTTGTTAAAAAAAACAATGCATGCGCTTCAAAAATCAATCAATCGCCATATAACGCATTTAACCAGAAATACTATTCAGAAAACAAAATTGAAAAAATTCCTTCATTTGTAGTAGGGATGTGACATTCTGCATAAAAAAATCGATTATTTTTTTAGCATGAAAAATCAATTAAATAACAATCGATGTTTTCCTAATATTTTAATTAATTTCAAAATAAACACCCTAAATATTTTATTTTTCATGGTTTTTTTAATTAAAAATAAACAATAGAAATTATAAACACAAATTAACGTTTAAGAATAATCAAAATTAACTTATTCTCGTTTTGATAGATTTTAGGTGATAAATGCTGAGTGTATGCCTTTTCAGTAGCACATTGCAGTATTTTTGTTGTCTTTTTAATTGTATGTAGTCTTGTGCTGCTGAATAAATTTATTTTACTTTTAAATTAGAGTGTTCCATTCAAACTTGAATTTTAGTAAAATTTATTGGTTTTATCATCCTTTGGATGTTTTACAAAAAAACATCAATGTATCGAGTATATCAATACATCTTCAAAGAATCGGATTCAATGTATTGCATTGTAAACATCGTTGTATATCGAATATCCCTAATAGTTCGAGGTCCGGGTTATAAAAGACGTCGGGAGGTGGCAGATGAATAACGACTATGATTGATTTTCAATTATAAAAATAATCGATTATTAATCGATTATTTCAAATATAAAAATCGGGTAAAAAATCTATTTTTACTTTAAAAAAAATCGATTAAAATCGATTTTTTTAAATAATCGATTATTTTTTCACATCCCTAATTTGTAGTCTTGGCACCAGAAAGAATGGCAATGAGTGTAATTTTTTTGAGTTTTCGAATATGTTGAAAACCGAGACCGAGTAATTTACGAAACTTAAACATATTTTTCTGAACCATCACAAATTCTACCCACAGAGGCACAGCTGATGCTATATTAACCAATTATTACGCCACAGTGTGTGCCCCACACTGTACATTACATGTCTATGTGGTTTTGATCGATGGTAACACATGAAATCACTAGCCTAATGTCACTGTCAAAGTGTCAAATGTTACGTGTCCGGTGTCAATCCATTACCAATAGGCAATACGTAAATTTGAAATTAACACTTTGTATTATTGATATTTTATTTATTTTAAAAATATTTAGCAAGGTCGAAAAGGTACAAACAAGTTTCATTTATACAATTATTTACGTCACAGCTTATACATTCAAACCAGTTAATAAAAATCATCTATTAATATTAATTATATAGTACTTACATCAAGACTCAAGTACTCGCAGGTGATTTTAATAGTTTCTTAAGATAATGTGAACCAAAAACTTTGCCACATCACAACTTTATATGCGTCAAAAAGCTCTTGATTTATTAATTATTCTTATTAAGTGTCTTAATTTGCGTGGTAACAGCTGTGTACTTTCTTTTAAAGTTCCATGTTTGATAACAGTGACTTTATCACGATATCTCATAGAAAATACAGTCATACTTTGGTATCTGAAAGTAACAGTTCTGTTCCATGGGTTTGATTACAGAAATGGGTCCATCAACCGATTGGGATGAAATAAAAAGATTAGCTGCTGACTTTCAAAAAGCTCAGCTTAGCTCTACATCTCAAAGGTAAGAACTATAAATTACCTGCTTAATTTTTGTTGAAATTTAGTCACTAAACTATTTTTGTACTTAACCCTCAGGTTATCAGAAAGAAATTGCATAGAAATTGTATCGAAATTGTTGGAACTTAAATTAATAGAAGTTATATTTACAAGTGATGGTAAAGAATACCTAACTCCACAACATTTGATTAGGGAAATAACAGATGAGCTGTATGTAAGGGGTGGTAGAGTCAATATTGTGGACTTGGCTAAAGAACTAAGTGTTGATCTTAATCAAATTAATATTAATGTCATTGACATTATAAAAGGGAAAGATGTCCAACTTATATCTGGATACTTAATATCAAACAGTTATATAGAGAAGATAGCCAGAGAAATAAATGAAAAGCTTCAGTTGCAGGGTCAAATATCAGTAGATGAACTGACACTCCAATATGACCTACCCGCAGATTTCCTGCAGCAGAGTGTTCTAGAAGCATACTTGAATGAAATTATAATTGGAAAGCAAGATCCATCAGAACCCAGAACATTTTATACTGAGGAGTACATAACAAGAACAAAAGCTAAAATTAGAGGAGCTGTTATGGGACTTTTGAAGCCTACACAAATTAGTATTATAATAGGACAATGTAATGTTGCAGAAAGATTATTTATGATGCTTTTTGACCAATTGAATGCCCCAGGTGTCTTAACTGGACGTTCGGCAAGTGCTCTTTATGTACCATCTTGTTATACAAAAGCCCAAAATGAATGGGTCATGAGTTTTTGGAAACAAAATAATTATTTGGAGTATGATGCATTGCAACGACTCGGTATATCAGATCCTAAAGGGTATATTAAGAAAGTTATACAGGAAGAAGATATAACATTCCTAAGTAGTTGTATTTTGGGCTCTCAAATTAAACAACAAATTGAGAGTGCACTAGAAGAGTGCATTGCATCTAAAACATATTTAGATGTTGTAAGTTTATTACCATCCGTCCTCTCTGATAAAGACATTGAAAATGTGCTTGAGATTCTACTCAAGAATAATACAAAATCAACAGTTTTATTTGATAATACTGGTAAGAAGGGTAGCATACAGTTTCATTGATATTATGATTTAATTCCCCATTACAAATTCTAGAAACTAATGCATGTGATAGGTGGATGGTATCTTTTTAATATCAGCTAGATCCAGTTGAATAAGTCAACAAAAAATTTTTCATTCTACAAATACAGCATTTTTTTCATGAAGTGAAGTCTCACCTATTCAAATATTAATTATATGCTTTTAAAAATTTGCTTATCTATTTTTTGAATTTCCAGTGTTCAGTCATCATTTTGTTGAAAACCTCAAGCAAGATTGTATGCCAATTACTCAGTCTAAAGCTGAAGCTGTTGTGAAGTCAGGAAAATTTCAACAATTTTATTTGGAGAAGCAAATTGCTAAGACTGAGTTACTTCACATACAGACAGACCATAAAACAGAAAAGCGAGAAGAACGTAGAAGAAAAGCAACAAGTGGTAAAGGTGGTGGTGGTACCCAGGGAAGGGAAACTAAAACCAAAGCTGTGAAAAAGCATCCCAGGTGATTCTATTAGAAATACATATTAACAACATTTTTATTTGTGTTAGTTTATTTGGCAGCAGAAGAAATTGTAATAAGCACTGCATTTAATTTAAAAGTATATTTTGGCAAAATTGTACATATTTAGGCTTGGGAGGAGTCGCATGACGCTTTAGGTGTTTTCTGCGACTTATCCAAAGCATTTGATTGTGTCCAACACGAGACCTTAATCGGGAAACTCCGCCACTATGGCATCAAGCATACCGCACTGAATCTTCTGACTTCCTATTTACATGGAAGAACTCAGAAGGTTGAAGTGAATGGTAAGAGGTCCTCTGGGTCGGCAGTAGATATGGGGGTACTACAGGGCTCAATTCTTGGCCCTTTCCTCTTTCTTGTTTATATAAATGATCTACCTTTCATGGTAGAGAGAAAACATCAGATAGTTTTGTTTGCTGATGACACGTCCTTGATTTTTAAAATCAAACGACAAGTAACAAATTTTGACGATGTGAACAATGCTCTATCTTCGATTGTCCATTGGTTTAGTATGAATAACCTTCTACTTAATGCAAAAAAGACAAAATGCATTAAATTTTGTGCAAAAAATGCGAGGGTTATGGATACTAGACCAATTATAAACGGTGAAGAATTGAATCTGGATGATACAACTGTATTTCTCGGAATCACCATGGATTCAAGACTTCAGTGGTCCCTCATATTAACGGATTGGCGAAGAGACTTAGTTCTGCAGCCTACGCGGTTAAAAAAATTCGCTCACTAACTGATGTCGATACAGCTAGACTTGTTTATTTTAGTTACTTTCATAGCTTAATGACTTATGGCTTATTATTATGGGGTCATGCTGCTGATGTCGAAACTATTTTCATCCTGCAGAAGAGGGCTATTCGTGCAATCTATAATTTAAAATGTAGGGAATCTCTTAGAGATACATTCAAGGAAATTAATATACTTACCTTTCCCTCGCAATATACGTAGTCGGTCCCAAAATTCTGTCAAAAAAGGGAAAAATAAAAAAAAAAAAATACTGGACCGGTTTTTATGGGGGAAATTTCCCTCCTCTTTAATTAATTAATGAATAAAAAAAAACAAAAAAATTCCCAAAAAACCCCCCCCCCCTCTTCCCCCCCCCCCCCCCCCCCCCCCCCCGCCCCCCCCCCCCCCCCCCCCCCCCCCCCCCCCCCTCCCCCCCCCCGTTTTTTTTTTTTTTTTCCCCCCCCCCCCCCCCCCCCCCTTTTTTTCCCCCCCCCCCCCCCCCCCCCCCCCCCCCCCCCCCCCCCCCCCGGGGGGGGGGGGGGGGGGGGGGGGGGGGGCGCCCCCCCCCCCCCTCTTCTTGTGTGTGTCCCCGCCCCGGGGGGGGGGGGGGGGGGGGGGGGGGGGGGGGGGGGGGGCGGCGCCCCCCCGGGGGGGGGGGGGCCCCCGGGGGGGGGGGGGCCCCCCCCCCCCCCCCCCCCCCCCCCCCCCCCCCCCCCCCCCCCCCCCCCCCCCCCCCCCCCCCCCCCCCCCCCCCCCCCCCCCCCCCCCCCCCCCCCCCCCCCCCCCCCCCCCCCCCCCCCCCCCCCCGGGGTTGGCGCCGCCCCCCCCCCCCCCCCCCCCCCCCCCCCCCCCCCCCCCCCCCCCCCCCCCCCCCCCCTCTCTTTTTTTTTTTTTTCTCCTCCCCCCCCCCCCCCCCTCTCCCCCCCCCCCCCCCGTCCCCCCCCCCCCCCCCCCCCCCCCCCCCCCCCCCCCCCCCCCCCCCCCCCCCCCCCCCCCCCCCCCCCCCCCCCCCCCCCCCCCCCCCCCCCCCCCCCCCCCCCCCCCCCCCCCCCCCCCCCCCCCCCCCCCCCCCCCCCCCCCCCCCCCCCCCCCCCCCCCCCCCCCCCCCCCCCCCCCCCCCCCCCCCCCCCCCCCCCCCCCCCCCCCCCCCCCCCCCCCCTCTTTTCTCCCCCCCCCCCCCCCCCCCCCCCCCCCCCCCCCCCCCCCCCCCCCCCCCCCCCCCCCCCCCCCCCCCCCCCCCCCCCCCCCCCCCCCCCCCCCCCCCCCCCCCCCCCCCCCCCCCCCCCCCCCCCCCCCCCCCCCCCCCCCCCCCCCCCCCCCCCCCCCCCCCCCCCCCCCCCCCCCCCCCCCCCCCCCCCCCCCCCCCCCCCCCTTTTTTTTTTTTTTTTTTTTTTTTTTTTTTTTTTTCCTCCTTTTTTTTTTTTTTTTTTTTTTTTTTTTTTTTTTTTTTTTTTTTTTTTTTTTTTTTTTTTTTTTTTTTTTTTTTTTTTCTTTTTTTTTTTTTTTTATTTATGAAAATATTATGTATGTATACAAAAATAGTGATAAGTTTACTAGAATAGAACATACGCACAATGTTAATACACGGAACAAACGCAGGCTGCAATTTCCCCGTACTAGACTTTTAGAATTTCTTTTTTGGGAAAAGGGATACTCTTCTTTAATAAAATCCCAGAGGCTCTTTTATCTCAAGAAATGTATTAAAGAAAAGCTGTGTAAAAAAGCTTACTATAAAGTCAACGATTATCTAGTTGATAAAAGGGCCTGGGACTAGTGCTAGACAGGCTACTTCTAATTAATTTGCGATATTTGTTTTAAAATAAGTGTTCTTTGATGATTTGCTATTTTAAAAGAGTACCGAGAGTTTTTTTACGCCGGCTTTTTCTCTCGGCCTACACCCTCTGTCTTCTTTGCCGATGAGTAGGGATGCCTACAAATTCAAATTTAATGACGTGGAATAAGTGATACATGTATCTTATGTTCCATAATAAACATATTTTATTTTATTTTAAGACAAAGTAGTATGTACATTGTACATGTTTAATTTTTAAGTAACATTTTCAGATCAAAGCAAGTTGTCCATGAATCCGATTCAGAAGAAGATGTGTCTTCTAAGAAAGCTACAGCCCAGCTGGAGATTATTTCATTAGAAGATGTTGTGAACATTATAAAGAAAACATTGGAAAATGAAGGCTTAGAAGACTTGGTCCACCAGATTGCTGAGTATCTGCAAGGGTGAGTTTTCTCAAGTTCTTGCAAATGGAGACATTTTGTCAATCCATTACTAGGCAACAAGTTTTCATGTCCTTCACTTTTTTCTAGTAAGCAATAATAACATAAATATTTGCAGAACTTTAAATGAAGCAGCTATAATCATAGCAAAGGACCTTGCTGCGAAATTACTTCAAAACACAAATCAGAATAAGAAACAAACACACTCATCCGCCCAAGATAAAATTAATGTTCTTATAAATGATATAAAGTTATATGAGAAGGGTCTTAAATTGTTTCCTGTTGATCAGCAAGCAGCATTTATAAAATATTTGTTGAAAACATTTGGAGCCGATATTTTGGGTGAATTCTGCAAGTATGCGGCAAATCAGTCCAACATTTCAGTTCAAGTTGATGAGTTATCTGCAGAACAGAGGAATAAAATAATAAATGATTTACCTGAAGAATATAAGAAGCCCTTACGAGCATTGAATGCTACTTTGTTGGATACTTTGGACCCATTTTATCAAGCTGTTGATGTATGTTTGTCAGAGTGTGGCATGATATTGAAGAAAGTCAATAAAAAAGAAGATAAGTGAGTATTTAGTCAGTGAATAAGTAAAGTGCTTTCAGTAAATTTTCTTAATAAAATATGTAGTATATCATTTACTAGAGATAATTGCTTGTAGTTGATGTATCATTTTACCCTTTAATGAAGTTTTGACTGTTCAATTTTCAACTCACTTTCTTTTATGATAAGATCCAATCATTGAAGATCTTTCTTTCTTTTTTACATCTTTATGAATAAATGAAGTTAGATTTGATTTGACCTACCAACCAATCTTGGCCAATATTGTGTGGGTTATCACCTGACATCATATTTTGGAGGCCTACATCCCACCAATTTGATATAAATAAATATTGATAATGATTTATTAAAATTTTTTAGATCCCTTATTCTAAATCATAGAGAAAAATTGATATCGGAACTAGAAAACTGTGATGATCCTGCTTTAGTACTGCACTTAGCTGTTCTGGCAATATTTACTATACTACATCAAAATATGTTGCATGCTTCTGGGCGACAGGTTCCATCCATTATATGTTTCTTAAAGACTCAGTTGAAGGATGAAGATTATTTAAAATTACATCATTATCATGGTAAGAATATTGTTTTATACCTATCCTATTACTTAACATTGTTATGTTTTACCTTTTTAATGCATTATTCCTAACTTTACCAATATAAGTGTGTGTTGACTTTTATGATTCACAGAGATTTTTAAGAAAGTTTTAATTAAAATTAAAAACAGCTGCAATATTGCAGTAGACATGCATAGATTAGTTACTGAAATCTAGGTTTTACTTATAAATGGAGGAAATGTCTTTGTATTATTAAAAGTTTGTCTACATTTTCAATAGTGCAAAAAGTATTTCACACAGTAAACGCACATCAGAGGCAATAAACCTATTACTAGATATCACTACTAGGTGCTGGAATTTTATTTTTAAAATCCTACTACTATCCAGTAATATTTCGGCTTTAATCAGTGAATATTGATTCTCTATCAGCCGCCAATATTATATATTTAACTATTATATTATACTTTATACTTTTGTTACAGAATTGGTAACAAAGTTTTTGGTTGCACCTGAAGAAGAAAAAAGTGCCCTTGAGGAAGACCTTAAAGATAATCTACCGGTTATAAAAAAATTAGTCTTTGAAGTGAAGAAATATAAATAAACTTTTATGTAATAATTTTTTTTCTCTATTTATTTAAATATTTTCACAAAAGACTAACTATAATTATTATTTATTATCGTTCCACCGAGCTACTTCTTTGGCTGTTCTTAAACAGCTTAGAGTCATTTTTCAGTTATCAGTGACGACTATGGTCTATGGCAGTCAATATCTGCAGATAATATTTAATGTGATGTCAAACTAGCACCATGAGGGTGTTGATGTAACTGAAATCTGTCAGTGTCATTGTCAGGTTTGGCGGTGAACGGATTCCGCTAATCACTACTCTGCTCACAGCCGTCACAGGCCACAGCTGTAAAATCATTTGTAATTTGTTATGACAACACGTCTATTCTCGTTTCCTTATTTCAAGTTAACGCATCGGGTCGGTTATCAGTTATCGTATTTTGTGACGCGTGCGAAATTAATTAGTTAGTGCGTAAATTTTGAATGAAACTATTTAAGTTTTAATAATTCGTCGAAGTTTTTTTCTTCTTTTACATCATATACATTAAGTGCATACGTAATTACAGTGCTAACCTCACGATAAAGAGCCATGCGCTTTACCTTATAACAGTACCATTTAAGTAGAATTTTTTTTTGACCAAGGATGGATAGAGGAGAGATAGAAAACAGTGATTTATTGACTGGAAAAATCGTAGAGAAGTTAGACGATCCAAATAATATTCGAAACGTTCCAAAAGAGCCTCCAGACGGAGGTTTCAGAGCATATTCTATTGTAATTGGATCCTTTCTAACAAATGGGCTACTATTCGGCGTAATCAACTCCTACAGTGTTATTTATACTGTGTTGAAAAAGCAACTACATGATGAAAACGTACCAAATGCAGAGAGCAAAGCAGGTAAAATAATTATAATTTTTCATACTTCGTATATACACAAAATATTAAAACTTCTTTATAAATTATATATCATATTATATTTTATACCAAATCTAAAAATGTTGTTATTTGTTAAATAATTAGATAATCATTAGATTTTTTTAAACTTTAAACTATATGGTGTGTAAGGCTTATCAAAGTTATCAAATTTAACAGAAATAGGAAGATATACACTGTACTTACAATATACATAACAGTATCATGTTGATTTTCATGTTTCTTATATAATATGGTTTTCTGTTTTTATTTATTTTTAATTGTATTGTCCAGTAAGTTTGTGGCTGTCATGTCAAATAATATAATCCTTTTAGTCATAGGTACATAAATTGAAGCCTATTCTGACTACTGATTTAAAGATCTACAAAATATATTTTTCTCAATAAGATATTTTATATGTATTATTAAATTATTATTATTATTCAAATTTTCTGAAAATTGCAAAAAAGGAGAAACAAAAGCAAAGTAAATGTAAACCTAATACCTATTACAAATATAAAGCTTTATAAAATTGTGTATTTTATCCTCTATCCTTAGTTGTATTCTGTAATTATTGTTATATATATATCTAGTAACATATGCCATCAAATAAACTGTAAACAGACTGATAAGGCTGATAGTAAAGGTTATCAGTTTAATGTATGGTTTTATTGTTCTGATTTAAATGTTAATTAATTTTACAGCAAATTTGCATGTGTCTCATCACTTATTTTTCTAAACAGGCAAGGTCTGCTATATTTTATATTAAACAAATATTTACAAACGCTATGAAATGGCCTAAGAAAGATAATTTTTTTTTAAATTCTGGATCACTGGTTATAAGTCGTCATCATTACCTAAAATGAGAAAAAAAAGGATGTCAAACATCAATCAAACTAGAGACATGAAATTATCTAGACAAAAGTTAAATGTTTTTTAATAAAGCTCTCTGCCTATTAACTAATTAAGTCTGTCTAGACTATATATGTCAGGGTTGAACTTTATCTATCAAACCCTAAATTGGTAACAATTAATCTGACCTCATAATAAAGGAGATTATAATGAAAACTTATTACTAATTAAAGTGTATATATTGATGTATTTGGGTTTATAATTTTGGTTTCAAAAGTACCATTAAAAACAATAGCAATATTTTTAGTATAAACAACTATATGAAGAATTCATTTAGTATGTGAGCGACTGAAATTCTATTTTTTCCAAAAAATTTTTTTTTTGTTAAAATTTTTTTTTTTTTTTAAAAACCCCCCCCCCCTTTTTTCCCCCCTTTTTTTTTCCCCCCCCCCCCCCCCCCCCCCCCCCCCCCCCCCCCTTCCCCCCCCCCCCCCCCCCCCCCCCCCCCCCCCCCCCCCCCCCCCCCTTCCAACCCTTTTTTTTTTTTTCCCCCCTTTTTTGGTGCCGCCCCCCCCCCCCCCCCCCCCCCCCCCCCCCCCCCCCCCCTTTTTTTTTTCCCCCCTCCCCCCCCCCCCCTCCCTTTTTTTTTTTTTTTTTTTTTTTTTTTTTTTTTTTTTTTTTTTTTTTTTTTTTGGAGTATTAAATGAATTCATTCAGAGTATGTGTACTTTGTAGGCAACTGAAATTCTATTAAATGCTTTGTGTATGGTATGATTTTAGTGCACTATTAGACGTGCCACTGTTTAAGGCTATATTAAGGGACAAACTATTCCTTATATAAAATAAGTAAATATATTATTTTATATAGTTCCCTATAGTAAAATAAGATGAGATATAAGGTTTCTTCTTATAGGGCCAACTCCTTGCGAAGGTTGGCGATCATAATGGCTTGTTTAATTTTGGATGCCGCGCTTCTAAACAATGACTTGGTGCTTTGACCAAACCATTGTCTAAGGTTTTTCAACCAAGTCGTGCGTCTGCGGCCAGGTCTCCTTCTACCTGCCACTTTGCCTTGTATGATTAGTTGAAGAAGCTCGTATTTTTTGGTGTTACGTAAAACGTGTCCGAAATATAAGATATATAAGAATTATATTATGCTTAACAACCAGTCATTCATTAAGAGTTACCAGTTACTTAGGCATTTAGTAAAGATTGAAATATTCACTATTTACCTGAAGCTATTAGGTAAGGTTTGCATTAATCAGACGTCATTTTTAGCTGAATTGTAAAACAATTACTAATTAAAATATTAGTAGGCTTTGAGGGTAATATTAGTGTAGAAACTTCTTTAAATATTGTTGGATATTCCATTCACAAATCTCCCGGGGCAACCTATTACAGTGACGCGGGGAGTGAGGGGGTCGGACCGGCAGGTGTTATGGACCCCTACTCACTCAAACCAAACCCCGTCTGCTCGCTACGGACGGGAGGTAGCGTAACAGTTTCCCTTAGTCCATGCCCCGACAAGAGGGTCTACTACGTAGTCCACCTTAATCTCTTTTATCCTATATTAATGTATTACAAATATTATTACCAGAATGTTTTGAGCCGCGAGCCTAACTCCTAGATCGAAAACACAATTACAACGGGCGACGGTGAGGCGGCGTTGATTGTATAAATATCTAATTGTTGCAAACATTTCATTGCAATTGACACATCACACAAGCCGTATTACGTCGTATTCAGTATGTTTCTGAACAGATAATAAAATATCTAGTGGGAATAGTTGCTTGCAGGGATGGATCTACTTATGGGCTATCTGGGCTGCAGCCCAGGGCCCCCAGTCCCTACTGAAAACAATAGGCGATATTTTTAAATAAAAAACATATCTGAAATTTTAAAAATCCAATCATAATGTTGAACACCTGAGATCAATCAACTCATGTGCGAGGCGCGTCTATCGAACGGATCGGGGAATTCCCCGTCGCTTGTTTTCGGTCGGTGTATTTTTTCGCGTGTGCGTCTATTACGCCTCCCCGTAATAGTCCAAAGCCACAGTCACAAATTCACGATCCGCCCATGGTTGCTTGTAGATTTTAAATCGCTTTAAATAGGATGAAAGGTTCTGTTTAATTATATTGGTTAGTTTTAGGTGAAAACCTTGGCTAAGTTCCCTTTGGCTTCAGTAAGTAAAAGGACCCATAAGGTTTCACATATATAAAGGCAATGAAATGGACTATGGGTGCTTCAGAAAATACTTTCGTATGTCAAATCTGATACGGTTTTTAATTGTACACAAAGAGTGATTGAATTATAATTGTAATTATATTAACAATTGAAACGCAATTAACTAAACCTATTATGATATAATTATTTCTTGTAATATACAGTCAAAACCGTTTATAACGACATCGTTTACAACGACCTATCGGTTATTACAACCAGATTGTATGGTCCCGTCCGAATCCCTAGTAAACTATTCAGTAAAGAAACCGCTTATAACAACATCGGATACAGCGACATATCGCTTACAACGACGAAAGTTTATCGATATTCATCGGATATAACGACCAACCGCTTCATGTCTCAGTAAAACAAAACAATACAAACGATTTTAAATTTTATTTATAAGCATTGAATGAATATTTAGGCATATTATTACCTACGCACTTTCTCCCAACGAACAGTTTCAGCCAACAACGATTTCCGAGGCTCTTAACGATTTTGCAAAAATTTGTTGCCTTTAACGAACAGTTTGATACTGGTGATACTCATACCTTGAGGAGTATGAAACGTAAAATGCAAAAAATATTTGAGACTGGGCTATAAAAAAACAGACTGACTGATTACTTTTGTACCTAATTATTTCGTAATAAATATTTTTGTTTCTTTTTTGACTCGTTTACATATTATAATATTAACATACCATATTATAACCCATACCTACCTATTCTAGATCGATAACTATGTACATACATATGTACTGTACTTGTGTACATGACATTGCTTATAACGACTATCGGATATAACGTCGGCAACTATACGGTCCCTTCAATGTCGTTATAACCGGTTTTGGCTGTACATACTTTCATCGAGCACATTAATATCTGATTTATACGAATGTATTTACATTTAAAAAATTACATTAGAATGTTCTATTATCCGTGACATGGCTATATTTATTTACAAATATATTAAAAAGCGACAATTCGCTTGATACAAAATTTAAGTGTATATCAAAATAACATATCCCGGGAAGGTAAAATAAAGACACATTTTTTATTATATTGTAAAAGTTGCTACTGATAAAGTTGACAAGTGGCACACAATGTATCATAATCTAATCAGGTCGCAGTTCAGATTCTATACCCATTCATCTCTCTTATCGGAACTTGCTACTAGCTCGGTACTAAATGGAGCCCTAAAGATAACATTCTTTGTCCTTTGATTCCACTGAGTTACTGCCTAGTTTATGTTTAACCACAGCATTAAAAACTTTTTAAACTGTGTAAAAAAAAAATGGTTCTCTTCGCATAACCATAGCTTTACAGTGACAGTCTTTAGTTTGAAAATTTAATATAATAAGGAGATATCCCTTTGTTCACAAGACCTTTTCTTTTCATTCAAAGAATATGTGGAAGAACTCGGATCTTTTTTTGTTTTTCTGTATTATACACACCTATTATTATTATGTGTACCATTGTCGACACTATATTGCATACCTATATGTAATCGGCGATCTAAATTCCTTAAACAAGTAAATTGTACCTTGGGAAAGGATGTTGTAATTTCGCCAGTTGATTGTGCGTTAACAAGGACAAGCCATTATCTTATACACTAGTCTTTTCTCTGTAACCAATTGGTATAATAGTGCAAATTCATTTCATTAGGAAGTACCCAATTCAATAATGCAGATGTTATCTTAATCTTATATCGACATGAATACCTTTTGGTGATAACACAAACTACGTTGCATTGAAGATATTATCTTACTTTATTTGCATAGCAGTGTAGGCCTAGTGGCTTCAGCGTGGGTCTCATCCCTGAGGTCGTAGCTTCGTTTACCGGCTGTGCTCCAATAGACGTTCTGCCTATGTGCGCATTGAACATTCGCTCGAACGGTGAAGGAATACTTCGCGAGGAAACCGGCTAGCCTGAGACCCAAAAAGTTGACGGCTTGTGTCAGGCACAGGAGGCTGATGTACTTCTTGCCTATTAGATTGACAAATGATTATAAAACAAATAAACATAAACCCCAAACCTAAAAGAAAGGTCCGAGACTTGTAGACCCACTGGTTATATTTTCATTCCAATCAATTTGTTTCAATCTAGATGTAACCGCTATTTTCTATCTTAAGTAAAAGCGTTTGTTTAATTTCATGTAAACGTTGAATTAATTATCATATTAAACAGGTAATAGTTTAGCAAAACTATTGATTTCGGTACGGTTAGGCCCTTTCTCCACTGCTCCGGTCCGGCGTCGGATACCGGAATGAGTCATGAGAAATATATCGGAAGGCCGGATTGCGCTTCTCCACTATATCCGATCCGACAATAATCGATACTTGTATATATTTATCATGCAACACCTATATTAACTAAAACCCATATACTTTATTTTATTAATAAAACGTTCTAAATTCTGAATATTTTATTGCCCTGGCAAGTTTATTACTTTTTTATATTGTCTATCTTAAAATATTATAATCTACTTAATTAATAGTTCACTAATACTATGGTATAAAAATATAAATAAATAGCAACATAATTTGATTTGGTCCAGGTTATCCAGATTATTTCAAATTAAACAAACTATAAAAATAAATCTGTGAATAATAATTTATAACCTCTTGGATACTTGGATAAACTTGGACCGATAAAACACCGCGTTCCGATCTAGCAAGTTATCGGATCGTTAAAAACCGGATGCCGGAGTAGTGGAGAAGCACGTAAGTACTGTGTGTGTGTGAGTTTCTAAATCGGATCGGTAATTAACGTTTGCCGGACCGGAGCAGTGGAGAAACGGCCTTAGTCATACAAGGTATTATTATTTGTTTATTATTTGATAGTCACAATTCTAACAGATGGCGCTGTGTTGAAAGTACCAACGTTTCACATAAGCTACAATTTAATGGCATAACCACCAAAAACGCATGGTGGTCCCCATGACTGGTGTTCTCCTACCGTTTCCCTTGAATAGTTTGCTACTATTTAATATAACAAAAACCTTAGCCACACCAGCGCTTGGCCGGTCAGCTAGTTCCATATAAATGTAAATTATGATATTAGTAGTGAAAATTAAGTGTTTTATCGGATTTTTGTCATGGTTTAATTTACCTCGTAGACTGTCTGATGTATCCAATTTATGAATCAATATCAATCAAACACCGATAGTGTTACAGGCTGACTGGCTGAAGGTTGAATTTTGACATTGAACGTCTACCGCAATACTATTTTATAATCACCACATGATATACACAATAGTGCCGTATAAAGTATATTATAGAGTTTAGAAAAACATGTTTTAATCATTTTTGAAATAGAGGTAAAGGTAGAGGATATACTCGATGTTACTATTTTAAAATTAAATTTTTGTTTTATAGAAAACATTTTAAATATCATGTTGAAAAATATAACTGAAGTGGCGGACCCAACCTCTTGAATATATCTCAAGCGATTAGGATATTAAACAAAGTATGAGAGTACCGATTGCAACGCCATTTGCCGGGTTGATTTGTGAATCTAAACCATCAAGTGCCACCCAAACGGTTACAAAACAATTCATTCAAATGGTCCAGTCGTTTAAGAGGAGTTCAGTGACATACACACATACAGTAGAATTATATATTATATAAAGATAATTATATTTTTAAATGCAAATTTTATAACATCGATGTACACAGCCAATGATTTCGAAATAACTATCATAATGACCTATTTCTTAAACGGCAATAACGTGTTTCTCTTTTGTTTCAGCGTTTGTGGGCTCGTTAGCGTTGAGTATGACGTTTCTCTTATCTCCAGTGTCCGGCGTACTTACCGGTCTCCTGGGACTGAGACTAACAGCTGTCCTCGGCGGCACTGTGGCAACTGCAGGCTTGGTCATCACTTCCTTCGTTGTTCATAATGTGGAAGCTCTGTACTTAACGTATGGAGTCATGTACGGTATCGGCGCCTCGCTTGCGTACACTCCTTCTCTTGCAATCCTTGGGCATTACTTCAAAAAGTATCTAGGACGTGTCAATGGCTTCGTCACTATTGGTAGCTCAATTTTCACAGTCATCATGTCTCCCGTTATGAAACATACAATTGATAATTATGGCCTCGAATGGATGTTCAGAATGCTGGCTGTCATAACTTTCGGAATTGCGCTATGTGGCTTGCTTTTCAAACCTATCCCGGTCGTGGTTATCGAAAAGCCATCCCAAGAGACGAATACCATCAAAACGATTATGAAGACAATTGTCAATGTACAAATATGGAAGAACCGTCAGTATAGGCTGTGGGCCATTTCTATGCCAGTGGCCCTATTCGGTTATTTTGTTACATATATACACATAGGGGATTTTATTCAAGAGAACTTTAAGAGCAGTACATCGAACTTGCCTCTGCAGTGTATCGCTGCTACTTCCGGCTTGGGGAGATTGATGTTTGGCATTTTAGCTGATAGAGACGGGATTGACAGAATTCTTTTGCAACAAATATCATTTTACGTTATCGGGTTGTTAACAATAATTTTGCCCTTTGTGAAGTCTTTTGAGCTGCTGCTTGTGATTTGTTTAGGTATAGGGTTGTTCGATGGCGGGTTCATATCATTAATAGGACCGATAGCTTTCGAATTTTGCGGGAGTGTATACGCAGCTCAGGCCATTGGATGTATGTTGGGTTTATCAGCAGTACCTGTGTCTATAGGACCTCCCGTGGCTGGCAGACTGTTTGAAGTGTATAAGTCGTATACACTACCCTTTGTGTTAGCCGGGGTATCTCCCCTCGTTGGTGCTACGTTGATGTTTATGATACGGTTCCGTTCACGAAGTCGACATGTCAAAGAGGCTACAAATGGACATGCATTGCCTGCGCATGATGTTGGTGAGTTTATTCAAACTGTTTTCTATATATACATTTTTAATTATTAGTTTGTTTGGGTGCATATAAAATATCTATTCTGATGCCAAAAGAAAGATCAGTTATATGATACAGAATATGTTTGCATTCCTTTCTACTTAAAATGAATTAACCTTTTTGCTTAAAACTTAAGATATATTATAAAATGATAGTAATTGAGATGCGTTTCCTCTGTAACATCAGAGTAAGTGTAGTGTACCATACAACTCGTCAGTTTTGATTAAATTATTCACTAATAATAATACCTTTATTAAATTGCTAAGTTTGTCACGGCTCCACTTTAAAACAGCTCCAAATTTTTTTCTATCGTTCTTTACTAGTATGTAGAACCAATCCAAGTAATATTAAGAAAGCGCATCGCTTTGGACCCCTTCACAAAATTAAAAAAAATTGAATATATTAGATGCATGAAGTAAATGATTAAGCAGTGTTGGCCTAGTGGCTTCAGCGTGCGACTCTCATACCTGAGGTCGTAGGTTCGATCTCCGGCTGTGAACCACTGGACTTTCTTTCTATGTGCGCATTTAACATTTGCTCGAACGGTGAAGGAAAACATCGTGAGGAAACCGACATGTGTTCGACCCAAAAAGTCGACGGCGTGTGTCAGGCACTGGAGGGTGATCACCTACTTGCCTTTGATTAAAAAAAAATGATCATGAAACAGATTAAGAAATATGAGGCCAACACTTAAAGAGGTTGTAGCGCCACTGATTTATTTTATTTATTGATGTAAATGATATTGTCTCAGTAGGTGAATACATTATAGGCCGGGAGATATTATTGACACAAAATAGTCATTTGCACCAGTTTGGCGGTTCTACAGGGGTCTTATTACGTAATTACAAAAAGAATTTTGATGGTAATAGCGCTCGTACCGGCGGCCCAAGCGCGTGGGCGTTAGTCGAACTCGTCGGATTAATTACGACTTTTAAACGATTTGTTCCACAAAAATTCTAGTATTTTCCGATAGTCCATAAAAAAACAAGAGGCGGCAGTGTCATGCCATACTCCGGTGTGACTTACGCCCGCCATAACGACGCGAATGCGATGATTAAAAAAAAAATTCAACCTGGTAAAAATTCAACCATTTGTACCAGGCTATTTTTTGCACAGTTATCATCGTCGCGCAGCCATTTACGAAAATCACCATGCCATACTTTTCGGACGGTTCCAAATGGCCGCCATACCGCCGTAAAATCAGCTTTTTTTTATTTTTGCTAAACTATTTTGTGTCACTATATTCCGGCCTATTAGGTTAGGTAAGGTTAAAGCCTAAAATTTGTATCTTCTTTGATTCATTTCACAAATCATTGTTTTATTTAATTTATATGGGGCTAAAGAGCATGCGCCACCTCACTATTGCACTGTACACAATGGTGATGAAAAAATTTGAAGCTGTTTTAAGGTGGAGCAAATTTACTATTTAATTTAATATATGTATATTCAATAAAAGGTTTACTTGTTCTGACTGAATTAATTCTTCATTCGTGGTACATATACTGCCTTTATTGCATTAATTAACATGAAATTTTAACATTTTCAGAAAGTACACCATCGCTTCGACCGAACGGAGTGGGTCAGCAAACATCATTATAACACTGGCTAGAACTGTTTACAAAACTATTAATGATATAAGTAGTAACTGAATCTCTCTACTATTTAAAAAGCTCAAAATGCAACTGGCTATTTGCACACAATGGATTGACCATAGTCATTGACAAAGTATGTATTTTTGACACAGATTAGAAAATAATATTAGAATGGTTTATCTGTGAAATTCCACAGATGGTTATTTATTAAGAATGTAATTAACATACACGTGAGCAGGGTCAGGTTCTGTCAAAACTGCATTTGAATTTAGAATTTTACATTAAAAGGTGAATTTTATGCGTACTCTATGGTTATGTCATACATTTTCACTTTACCTAAGTGCATTTTACCCTCGAATTTGACGTACAAATACGTACGACCCTTTAAATTTTTCTGCATTTGTTAGGCACAAACTTTAGCTTTGTATATATCCATAATAATATGTATTTGTTGCGTATGTGTTAAACAAATTTTATATTTAGTTTTGCCAATATATTAATAGACTATATAATATATATATTATATATATGTTTTGAACTTGAATAAGTGGGATATTGGTAGTAAACGCTCATGAACGTAATGCAAGGAAGTATGTATATTTTATGTATAAATACATATTGAAATCAGAAATAAAAAGGGACCACTAAGCTATTTTATTCAAAAATTAAAACTCTAACTTATATTTCATTTAATATATGTATAATATTTTTTATCTGTAGGTATTTAGATAGTGATCAAAAGCTGTTCTTGCAACAAAAAGCCTAGATTTTTATTATATTGTGTACGATAACATCAAATCATTTTATCTCGTGAGTAATTTCCCGTTCAATATTATGTACTTTATTATCAAAATCTGATAGAGTTGAGTATATTTTATCGATCTGAAGATTATAAAGTAAAACAATAGTTAATGTACAATAAGGTTGTTGTATCCGTAACGCAGCGGCGTATTTCGAACGAATGCTCAAACATACATCGGTCCATATTTATTTACGTTTTAAACAAAGGTATAGATACCGACATACTTCTTGAGCATTAAACAAGGGAGTGGGGGAATGTTTGAGCATCGCGGGACGCAAACATCAACTGATTTACCAATCACGCGTTCGATTTTGCCATTTAAGAAATTAAAGAAAAGCTGTGCAAAAAGGCTTAATATAAAATTAACGATTATCTAGTTGATAAAAGGGCCTGGGACTAGTGCTAGACAGGCTACTTCTAATTAATTTGCGATATTTGTTTTAAAATAAGTGTTGATTGATGATTTGCTATTTTAAAAGAGTACCGAGAGTTTTTTATGCTGGCTTTTCTCTCGGCTTACACCCTCTGTGTTCTTTGCCGATGAGTAGGGATGCTTACAGATTCAAATTTAATGACGTGGAATAAGTGATACCTGTATCTTATGTTTTTTACATATTTTTTTTTATCGACACGTCACTCTCCCGCGGCCGCGCACCACCAAAAATAGTCTGACATGTCAGAATATGTCATCATCGTACGGCTTTAATATCTTCGAGTGGCAGACTGACACGTGGCCGCCATTTGTTGTTATAATGTCTCATTTTACATTGATTGTAAAACAAAAGACGACATGATTCTGCTTCGCTTTGTTTGAATTAGAAATTCTCTTGACCAATGACAAACAAGCAATTGCGCTAGTGTTTTGTCTTACGTTTTACATTCCGGGCTCATGCCCCAGGGATCTGATATCGCAGAGCAAACACAATTTGATAAGAAACACGAGTAAGTTATTCAAAACAATTAAATTGGATGATGTAATTTTTAGTACGTAATTTCAACAAAATATTTTGATCAGACCATATCGAGTTAAAATGTGATGACGCGATGTTAATATAGATATCATAATAAATTATACTTTATCTTTTTCTAATTGTTTTATAAAATCATATTTAGGATATGAGTTTGAAGTTTGTAATCCCTCAAGGGGGAATAGATAGGTTAGCAGTCTTTGAAAACCCACCCAAAACTGTTATTTCTCTACTAACTGCACCATCAATATAATCCTATTAAATAAAAAACCTTTACAACACCATAAAAAACGAGAATATAGAAAAGTTTTATGTATACACCTAGTTTCAAGATTAAATTATATTTGTCAATTAAATTATCTACCTTTTGTATATAACTTCTAGAATTGAGATCACTATGTATAAATGTGAAAATGTGATGTGAATGATTGGTGCTAGATAGCCACTTTATATTTATTAATATTATCCATAATTCTATGTATGTTCATGCAAATAAACATTATTTACTTGGACTTCTTTGACAACGACGGTGATGGTAGGAGAAGTTGGAGTAAGATGGGGACTCTAAGGTATGTCATAAATAAAACCCTCAGGTAGAATATTGAAGAGTCGTTCTCTTCACAAATCGGGCAGATATGGATCGTCATCGGTATTCCACTAAGCTAAAAACCAATAAGTTGACATATTTTATTTTAACTTATGTATAGGTCAATTATTACACAATATTGTCAATTCCTGCATATGCGAAACAGGAAAATAATATGTATATCTATTATGTTAAATACCGTATGACGAATCAATTAAATGTTATATATTTAGTGACAAAAATTTAAATTGTTAATCTACATTTAATTTATGATACGTGAATAATTTGAATAAATATTACACACTATAGACACGTAAATGATATCATTTAATTAGCATTTTATTAAAATTTGTATTGTTCCTAATATGTTAGAACCAAAGAATAGAGGTGTTGATAAAACTTAAAATTATATAATAGAATTCTTCAAAATACTAAAGTCCATGGGGCGAAGTATGAGTTTTTGAGTGTAAAATGTAGACTGCAACTGTCAATAGATACACAATGTTCTTTTAACTATATAAGTCAATCATGTCTTTTTATTAAAATGGGCTTACGCTGTAATAGAAAGAGACAGATAACGAAAAACCTGATCTTGAAAAAGGTGGAACTAGGCTGAAGAACTTTAAAAAATAAATACAACATAGGTATTCAAACAATTTCTTTTGCGTCTACAATAAGAGAAACAATAAATTATCTTATAGATTTTAATTTGACACAATTTCAGCGCGTTATTAATTAATATTTGTGAAAATTAAGCATACTGTAGTTAAATAAAAGTTTTTTACCGACACGTTTTGACATCTTTCTGTTCTGTGGTTAGAACTATGGCAGTTACCTTAAGTTCCTAATTTAGTATAAGTTTTTAAATATTTTTAAATTATAAATTTAATTACGTTTATTACTATTATACGTATTTATATGTTTTACTATTATTCTTTATTTATTAGCTAAACTGGTTATTATAAAAATGCTATTTAAAATAATCCGCCTTCGAATCTTCATACGAAACCGTTCCTACGTTTTATTTATAATCTGTGGAATTGTAATAATGCTGAAGCTGGTATAAAATGACAATTACAGATACAAAATATTATTTTAAACTAAGAAACGGTACTTACTATTTTTTATTACATTTCATATAATGTCAAAAATATTATGTACACTATAAAATGTTAACTTTTAAAGGTTTTTACTCCATCATTGTTAGCTGTTGTAATTTAATTTTAATATGTTTGCTATTGTTCCTATAAGATAGATCTTTAGAAATATATGTTATTTAAGTTGTTAAATAATTTTCCTATGCTGGTGTCCAATACCCAATGACTAAATGTAAGATAAGCCTAATGTTATTTTTAAACCTTAGGGAGCGTTCAAGTATAACGTAACGCAATTTTTGGAGATTATTGACCCCCCCCCCATGTAACTCGCCGTAACGTTTTTCAGTACCCAAGTACAGTACTGTACCCAAGTCTAGTAAAACGTTTCGTGACCACCTAGTGACTCTTTAGTTACTATTATGTGGTGTAAGTAGAAAATAATATTAACAATAACGCGTAACTCAATTCTCGCCCCGCATCGTAACGTTTTATAAAAGGAAAAAAATTCGTTACGTAATACTTGAACGCTCCCTTATTGATTTTTATTCACGAAAATATATCCGATAATATGTATTTAAAATTAAGAATATATAATAAAATGTTACGCAGTAAACTTATTGTTATTATTTATTTAAAAGTAACACGACAAGAAAAAATGCGTAAAAGTGAAGCAACGCAATTCACTGTGCGTTTCATGGATTTTGACTGCGGTTTTTCTTGTTTCTTCCCTGGGGGTAATTTAGGACCTCTTTTATCGAAAAGTGAAACCATTTAATAAAACCTGCGGTTGACGTCAATATACAGGTAATTACTTTGTGACGCAATTTTAACACTATTTGAGAACTAAAATGCCACTTAATACAGTTTACCTTAAAATAATATTTATCCAATACACCATGTGTCTTTGCAATATTTAACAGATAAATTACACCAATCAATTACCTATATAAGAATCATTTATTCACCGGCTAATGTTATCAGTGATGAGTGAAAGCGTAAGTGAACGAAATATATCTGTATACACGTGACAACTTGAATAAAAGGATGATTTCAACGACAATTTCATAGAAAAGTAAAGACACAACTAAATTATTCATTAGTTTTATTATTTTGACATCGCCTACACGATTTATAAATAAAATGCCATATTCGTACGAATCCAATTTGTTGAGGTGGGTTGGTATCATCTGAATTATTTCCATCCATACTAAAGGAGTGAACCCTTAGTTCTAATTCTTCGTGTGAGGGGGAATTCGTTTTTTGTGCCACCCACCGTAATGGTTTTGATAGCCTGAAACGTATTTACAACAATATGTCGTCTTAAGTAACCGAATTCATCTAGTTTATAAATTGTATTCCCATGTGTAACAAGTGACAATAAATTGGTAATTTAAATAGGTAAATTTAAAAAGGTAGGAAATACATAATTGCACTCAATAACCATCTTAAGAGAGTTGCATTTAGAATAATCGATGCTGATAATAAAACGATAATCAACCGCGACCAACATCGTAAATCACTATTGTAACTGGCTATGTATATAATAATAATAGCCTTTTAATTCATATACTTTTACATTTAAACACTTCTATTTTAATCTTCTTCTAGGTATCAGTGTGCCCTTTTTTGGCAAAGGACTCTTCCAAATCCCGCCATTCCTCTTTGCACTGTACCACTCTCTGCCATGTACCAGCTGTTTTTTTAATTTGGCCCAAGATTCAAATGAAAAAACCTTTAGTACTTTTTTTCCACTTTTCTGTCCCTATTGCACACGGGGCACTTGCCCGCCCATTTCCAATTTAGTTTATTTACACACACCTGTAGGCTGTAGCTTTGTATGTTGCGGCTGTGTTGATATTATAGTACAAAAGTAATGATTATATAATGTATTCAATCATATATCCCACAATAAAATATGAATCACTGGCTATTCTATCCTAGGCCTGGATTTACTACCCAGACAGAAATAAGCAGGAAAACTGCGCAGACACACAACTCCATAGCTCTCATACTCCTGTGGCAACGATATCCGACAGGACCGAAGAAGATACCACAAGAGCAGGCACAGGACAGCTTTACGTGCATATTCGAGGCAAGGTGGTCAAACATCGCCAGCTTCATATTTAGTTATTGCTATCATTGAGCTTTTCTTCAAGAATTCTCTTAATGATCTGTAGCCGAACACTTCTAACCATTTGACCAATAAGGCAGTTACAATGCAATTACCGTCCTTTACCTTGGAAATATAATTTGTGAAAAAACTGCAAATCAAAGTAAAGTAAATCATACTTACTCTGAGAAATAGTCCATATCCTTTAATGTATCTGGCAACTCCCGCCCATCGACATCAGGAAGTATTAAACATATAAATACCAATATCAATGTTATGACCAGAACGACTATCATCATAGTAAGATCTCGAATATCCTGGGTCGTGATAAGGTATGCTGTCATGGTGCCAAGGTGTCCCAGAGAGTAATAGCACCCAAAAAGGGTCGCTCTGCATTTAGTGGCTAAGACCCGTGGTGTAATGTTGAGGAGTAAGGCGTGGCTGATTAACCCTGAAGCCAAGCCTATTGTAGAAATCACTTCAAGTATGACGACCTAAAAATTTAAACGTATTTTAAATTATAATTTATAAAGTTGACACCTGCTTAAATAGTTATAACAAATATCTATAGAAAATACTAATACCTACGTAAAGTATTATTCATTTACGTGAATCCTACCTCATTTACAACCTACATCAAATATTTGTCGCTACGATTTGTTCTACAAAAAGTAGTTTTCAAAGACACTCTTCTTAAAGTCACAGCCAGCATTGCAATACTTGGCGTTGACATATCGAACAACTCTCGGTTTCGCGGTCATTAGAAAAGAAAGACTAAGTTAGCCTCTAAGAAGCTTGGTGTGCTCAGCAAGGCGAGACGGTACTTCACTCCGGGGGCCCCTGCTTTCAACTTTATCAAGCGCGAATTCGGCCCCACATAGAGTACTGTTCTCACCTCTGTGCGGGAGCTCCCTATTACCAGCTCTTTCCACATGATCGTATTCAACGAAGAGCGATTCGAATCGCCGACAACCAATCCCTTCCCTGAAGGGTCACTCTACATTATCTACCGCATTTACCACGGAGAGTGTTCAGAGAAGTTGTTCGGATTAAGACCTGCAGCTGAGTTTTACATCATCGGACGTTGAGGAAATACGAAATTCCACCCGTATCACCTGGACATCCGGCGTTGTACAACTGAGCGTTTAGGTTAGGTTTAGGAAGTTTCTGCCGCGCACAACCACTACGTGGAACCAGTTGCCCACTGAAGTTCCAAACCAAGTCGACTTAAGGTCCTTCAAGAAAAAAGGCGTACCAGTTCTTAAAAGGCCGGCAACGCACTCGCGAGCGCTCTGGCACTGAGAGTGTCCATGGGCGGTATAACTTCAGGTGAGCCTCCTGCCCCTTTGGCCTTGTTCTATAAAAATATATTTATAAAGCATTTTATAACACGTAAATTTTACTCACATTAAGATGTAATCTCTTCTTGAAAACAAAAATACTTGTTGAAGTCCCCAAAATAACAATATTTAGCGCTAACCAAAATCTTAGCTTCATCTTTTTCCCCAAACAAACATAAGGAAGTCCTAAGAAAGCCGTCGTTGGTAATACTTTAACAGGGGCATATATTGGATCTTTGTATACTTCCATGTATAAAGGAGACCATAGAAAAAAGTACAACGCCCAGAATATAAGACACGACAGAACAATAATTCTAACATTGTGAGTATATAATATAGTGAAACAAGTCCATTCCTCATCCAAACATTTGTACGCCTGAAAGAAAATTTTAGGCAAAATGTTATGAGTTGTTTCTATACATAAAAACTATTACTTATATAAAATATAATAAAAATAAATTATGTTTATTATGGAATATAAGATATAGGTATCACTTATTCCACATCATTAAATTTGTATCGGTAGACACCCCTACTCATCGTCAAAGAAGACAGAGGGTGTAGGCCGAGAGAAAAAGCCGGCGTAAAAAACTCTCGGTACTCTTTTAAAATATCAAATCATCATACAAAATGACTATGGCAAACATAGATAGAAGAAACCAGAAAGGAGGGAGATAAAGCTAAAGAAAACTAACTATTACATAAAAATAAATATGTAATTTACCGCATCTAAAATCGAAATTCTATTGCGTAGACAGACGTTTTGTTACTAATAAACAAAGCCGAGTGTAAAAGGTCAAAATGTTATAAAACCAATTTATAATCGACAGCTTATAGACATAGCAACATGTCTATTTATAAAAAAATATTGTTTTATGAAATGCAAGGAGAAATCATTAAACTTGTTATCTTTCCCTATTAATAACTTTATGATCAACTACTGCCCCGCCATTTTTATCAATATGGCCTTACATACGGTAAAATTAAAAGACTTAGTTGTAGTATTTAAAACTAAATGATTTATCTACATATAAAAAAATTGAATAATATATTTTTTTACGTAGGTTTACATCGCATTTATTCAAGTAAATTATGATAAATAAACTTAATAATTATTTGAAAGAATGTTTTTGTTTAAATGATGTATAACATATCATTGTAATATATGTGATAAATGATATTACTTAAGAACAATGATTAACATACCTACTCTGTGGTCAACTGGTCTTATTTTGAAGTCATTACATAATTTTACGCGGTTTTTCTTTGCAGCACTAATTAATATCTTTTCTGCTGATGATATTCTTCTATTGTATAGTAACCATTGTGGTGATTCAGGAATCCATCTAAAATTGTAGATCAATATAGGTTATAGTTTTTAGCAGAAACGATAAAAGATTATCTTGCATTTGCGGCGACATACCTGAAAAATACTGTCGATCTGTCGGCTTTTAACAGAATTCTTCGAAACAACACTATGTATTGTTCGGTCTATGAAGCTAAGAATGTAGGTAACATTTCATTGTATTAATTATTATCATGTTTGACTTTGTTGTTTTTAAATTAAGGGTCAAGAATAAACCTATCATTTATTGAAGGGCATTACAGTACATTGACTGTGGAAGATTCCACAAAGTGCAAACCTCTTCTTCTCTAAAGTATTATATAAAAAAAGGATAGAATACCTGATAAGAATAAGCGGTAGTAGACCCACTAAGAATGCTATAAAGTTATAGGTTTCAAGATTAGGAGCAGAATTCGCAATTGCTAGCATACAGGTGGAGTTTAAAAGACGAGGGAAAGAAACCATAAATCCTAGAATAGTACGCCATTTGTTGCTTGCAATTTCACAGACTGAAAATTAAAATAGAGTTAGATATATTTTTTTGCTACTCTCAATATATATCGACTAACCCAATGGTTTTTTGTGTGTTGCCAAGGCGCAATAAAACAGAACCTTGAATATGTCTTAATATCTGTTTTATTGGTAATTCAAAGGCAAGGTTAAGTTTTTGTGTTAACCAATCTAATCTTAATATATATAAATTACGTGTCACGTTGTTTGTCCGCTATGGACTCCCAAACTACCTTATCGATTTCAATCAAATTTGCACACCGTGTGCGGTTTGATCTTACTTAAAAGATAGGATAGCTTACATCTCAATTTATACCCGCAATATTATTTAATTGCAAATTATTTGTTTATTATTTGATAGCCACACTTCTAACAGATGGCGCTGTGTTGAAAGTACCAACGTTTCACATAAGCTACAATTTAATGGCATAACCATCAAAGAAGCATGGTGGTCCCTATGACTGGTGTTCTCCTGCCGTTTCCCTTGAATAGTTTACTACTATGTTATATAACAAAAACCTTAGCCACAGCAACGCTGCTAGTACAATTATAGTTTTGCCCGAAATTAAGTCTCAGAGAGGACCACTGGTGACCGCGTGGACTGACCCCTCTATTATAATAAGATAATTAATTTTTTTTATATAGATAATTCTCTATTCCAATATCCAACTTCTCTGTCATACATATAATGCATGTCACAATATAATAGTTCAATATTTTCCTCTGTTATCTATAGGGACTTTATTCAAGGAACCTGGTTCAAAGCATATCTACATCTAAACAATTGTATTGATATTTCCCACGGGAAATCTGATTCGCACTAAAGATGCTAATCAGCTTACAAAGTCCTCTCACGTATGTGTACACCACGCATAGTCCTAGGCCTTTTCACGATTGTTTTGCCTCGACTTGATGTTTAACATGTAAACTATATAAAAATATATGTAGTAGATATGTCAATTTACACATATTTTGATTCCCGGTGCAGTCATGACTGCATCTGCCTGTGTCAAACGCGAACTGATTATTTTAAGCTAAATGCTAAAAGGCTAGATTAAAAATGTTTTAGTCTAGTTTAAACTTGTATAAAGACAACGATTTATATCGTTGTTTTACGGGTAGCGGTTAGCATTCAATTCTAAGTAACCAAGCTGCTCTGGGCAGACTCAGAGGACATCTACCCCATAAAAAAGAACAAGGTCTGTGTCAAATTTTTTTAATGGCCTCTAATAGGACTTTGAAAAGAACTGAAGTCAGTTAAGAAACTTGCCACGAATCCTCGCGGATAGAAAATATCTGGAAATTACAATTATGCGATTACGAAAGAAGAAACAACAATTATAATAATAATCCATTAATCTTATATATCATAAAGTACAGCAAATCACATACCTACAACTAATCCCAGGTAGTAAATACCACTAGTAGACAATGACTTGAGAAATATAAGAAGTAAATACCAGCTCTCTGAATCACAAAAAGTTATCGCAAGTCGGAATATTAATTCAGCTATTATATTTATCATGATCGCTATTCGTCTTCCAAAACTGAAAATAATAAATATAAGTATAAGGAAAGTTCTTTTAACACTTACGTGGGCCAACTTTTTTTTCATGTAACAGGAGGCAAACGGACAGGAGGCTCTCCTGATGTTAAGGGATACCGGCCGCCCATGGACAGTCACATTGCCAGAAAGCTCGCAATTGCGTTGTCGGTATTTAATCAATTGGTAGCTGCTGGAATCAATCCAAGCAACAAAAGACTCTCCATGGTAAATGCTATAGAAGACGCAGAGAGACTGCATACGAAATCACTTTTATCTAAACTCTCGTGTTCTCTCTTCATAATGTGGGTAGGACAATGTATCTAGTCTGGCCATAAATACTGTTACATAAAAACTTTTCCTTTTTTGCTTTTCTTACACGGCGACATTGAGTCTCTTAAAAGATCTTTGGAGCCAGCAGTGGCGAAATTTCCCTAGGATTTAGGAAACAGTGCGTAAATCCATAGATTCGTGGCGAAACAGATTAAAGGCCTGTATAAAAGCCAAAGGTGGCCATTTCGAATAGAATATTTTTTATTTTTTGTATGAGACTTTAATAAATATGTAGGTATAAATTTTAATAATATTACATTACCTCATTTAAAATATGCATTTTCATTTGTAACAGAACTTATGGCTGGACTAGGTAGATAGTCCAATATTAATAATTAAAAATTACGTTTAAAATTACCCATCCGAAATAAGTCCAAATATAATGCTTCCCAGGCATAACCCAAAACGACAAATTACCGTCAGAATTAAGAGAATCGTAGAATCTTTATCACAGAATATAAGCCACTGAAAGAAACGTCAATTATATTAAAATAAAAATAAAATATGTTTATTATGGAACATAAGATACAAGTATCACTTATTCCACGTTATTATATTTATATATACATTTATACATGATACACTATTAAAATTAAATTATAATTCTCAGTTCCTTATAATATAATAAAAGGCTGGGAGATAGTGACACAAAATAGTGGGTCATTTGCACCAGTATGGCGGTTCTTCAGGGGTCTTATTACGCAATGAAAAAAAAGAAAAATTATGGTCATAGCGCTGGTACCGGCGGCCCAATCGCGTGGGCGTTAGTCGAACTCGTCGGATTAATTACGAAAGTCAAACGATTTGTTCCACAAAAATTCTAGTATTTTCCGATAGTCCATAAAAAAATAAGAGGCGGCAGTGTCATGCCATACTTCTCCGGTGTGACTTACAGCCCGCCATACCGACGCCAATGTATTAATTTAAATTGTGTAATAAGACCCCTGAAGAAACGCCATACTGGTACAAATGACCCACTATTTTGTGTCACTATCACCCGGCCTATAATAAACTTCATGGCCTGATGAAACTGTGCTTGACACGACGCTTTACGTACTATTATTTCGGTCCACTAAAGATTTGAACCCAAGTTCTCTAGCTACGAATATGCTAACCACAGACTCAGTCTTACCGTTTTCTTAATCCACACGAGCCACATGAATCTTACTTGCCAAGAGTCACACATAAATTCCGTTCCATTTACAGTATATGAACACAGAGTAACATTGTACTGAGACATACAGACTACGCCATTTGGTGGTTGCAGAAGAAACGCATCTTCATACTGATTAAGTACTGTTGGTGCAGCCAAAAATGTTGAGAGTATAGTGACTGTCCATTGCCAAGCGCCAATATTTCCAAGAACTTCGGTTGTCACGTCTTCATGGATAGTTCCACTTCTGTAAAGTATTATCTGTTAGTATCGTGGTGTTATTTAAGCGTAAACCACGAAAACCCAATTTCAATGTTTCATTGAATCGCACGTTTTGTGATCTAGAGTGAGCTGTAGGTTTTAGATTATGCGGTTTAGCCAAAGCAGACATGTTCTACCAAATTTAAGACACGCCTGTCAAAGGAAATATAAACTGTTCTTTGTTAAAAAAAAATTATATATTGTATGTATATTGTATAGGTCTTTTAAAGACGGACAAAAAGAATGACTGCAGACATCAGATGTTACGAAAATGTTCCACCAAACCGTTTTTGTAATTTTCTTTGAAGATTAATACGAATCAAACTCCACTCTTAAATAAAAAGCAAACAATGTTTTCGTGCCATCTCAATGCCTATATATAATATATTATATTAATTTCACACTTCTGTTTTTATGAAACGTCCTCCACAATATCACTTACTGATAATGTTTATTTATTTATGTAATATCAACGCAAAATTACGAATATTCTTACATTGACATTGTGGTCATTATCTTCTTTGTTTAATCTTATAAAAGGTCTTCAACCGATGTTACGTCATTTTCTTGGCTAACTAGATTATTAATCAATATTTTACGAAACTCGACCACAAAGTCCGCATGACTGCAATTGTATTTTTTATAAAAATCTTCAGATTAGAGTCGGAGATTTTAACAAGTAGATTTCCTTGAAGATGCGGGTATGTATTGACATTGATATGTGTGAAACTGTTATTTTAGCGTTGACATATTTATTATTTTTATTAGGGTATGGAATGAACACTATTTAAGTGAATAATATTTTTATAAGTTCTATACTCTAATGATTCTAATGTTCTATTCTTCTCTCTTAAACCCTCTTCTCTTATTAAAGATTGACACTGTCTTAACCATAGAACATTATAAATGTTACCTCGTGTCGTTTTATTTAGTGGAAACCTTCATTTAACAACTTCAAGCAAATCAAGTCACAGGTCGGACTTTAGCACAAAATAAAGAACTAAATCAAAATACCAATACCTAACTAAACTGGTTAGATCAATCTTGAAACTCGTTTTAAATTTTAATATGCAGACGAAGTATAAATATTGATTGAGGGATATTTCGTAGATATAATAAAACACTACAGTGATACTTACTCAATGAATAACATAAAAAGCTCGCCATATTGGGCACAAATATAGATTCACAGTTATACGGAATTATTAATTTAATTAATTAATCTACTTCTAGAAATAATTCAATGGGCTACTCTGTGGGTAAAATATTGCTCTGTATGGTGCAAAATAAACACAAAATTATAAGTCATATCAATAAACTCGGTAACTGTCTCAATTTATATAATCAGGATAACATTGGGATGTAGGTGGTGTCTGATTGCGTAGTAGAAATAGTGTCTCGCCTAGAGCGGAATTTTTTAATGAGATTTTTATAACATCGCTATATTTGTACCTTGGTTAGGGGTCAATGGCCGGGCAGTTGGATATGTTTTGCAATTCAAACCAACATTATCATTTACATTACAACATGGCACTAACTACTTATATTATCTAAACATATTATTTTAAATACTTTAACATTAATCAGGAGCAGTGTTGGCCTGGTGGCTTCAGCGTGCGGATCTCATCCCTGAGGTGGTAGGTTCGAACCCAAGCTGTTTATGAATTTTCTGTTTATGTGCCCATTTAACACTCGCTCGTATAAATGAAAAATTTCGTGAGAAAACCATCATGCCTTACTCCCATAAAGTCGACAGCGTGTTGCACCGAAGGCTACTACTTAAGCCTATTAGAAAAAACAACAGAACACGCAACAGATACACCAATCTGAGGCCCACTGATTTTTAACATGAATAACTAACGTCTATTGTTACCCACCAAGGAACTACAATACCATCTGTTAATATGTATGTTTATTGTACAACTTGAATGTGTATCAAATTAATAATTGTATACACAAATAATTATATTTTTTTCAAGGACCTCTTTAGAGACAGACTCTCTATATCTTGAGTATTTTTCTCTTAATCTTCTTTTTTTCAACTTATTTTAGCTTCCTTTTTTTGTATATTAATATTTAATAGTGATAAGATACAAGTTTGTATCACTAAAACTCAAACTCTTTTTTTGTACTCAAACTTGAGTATAAAAGTGTATAATATAGTGTAATAAAGTGTAGTGTTAAATGTGTATTTTTTTTTTTTTTTTTTTTTTGTAATAATGTGTAGTGTTAAAATAATATAAATGTGTATTACATTATTTAAAAAATGATTTATTGAACAGTTACAATTCATACAATATAACATATAATAGGACTGAAAGCAATGGCCACAAATAAGCAAACTCTTCTAGACAACCCGAAAAGTGATTTATATTCATCGTCTCGAATAATTGATATTATACTATACACCTCTCAAATGAAACGGTAAATTCTGTTCATAATTTTATGTTTTATTGCATCTCGCTACTGTAATAGATTTTTTACATCATGTCTTGTGTGTAGTCTTGGCAATTTTATGCTTAGAGTGTACACTAAGCCACAAACCACATGTCCGTGGTGATGATAAGTGATATGTGATCTAACAGCTGGGTAATCTAACGGGTCGAGTCAAGGACATATAAACTTTATCACTTTTGCTGAAGCTCGAAAAACGATTTCCTTCAAATAATATAGTGTCGTACAACACTTGTTTCACAAAATTTAACTTAGCTAATTAATTAAATTCAGTAATTAGTAATAAATAGTGTAAAGATAGACTTTTATAGTTATTAAAACCAGTTTTTAATTATTCAATTACTACAACAAACTTATTCACTCACATACACAATATTTAGGTGCATTAGTAAAAATACACTTATTACAGATATCCCGGCACCCCTATAACGGCGCCTGAACTTCAGCGTTATCATGAAAAACACGTGGAGTTATTAAGGTTATGTTGTCAAAGACAATAGATAAGGGGCAGCTTTCGAGCAGTGCCGCCCGACGACTGTCGATAAACGTTCATTCGTCCCACCGCCGCCATAGAGGCCAGGCGTGTTTGTTTACTGTTCATGTGATTACAGGAATTGAAAATACCCGGGAAAGCAATCATGGATAAGGAACACGCCCTTGAGGAGATGATGGGGAAGCTTGGTGAGTATTTTAAAGAGTTTTTATATATCTCTTCAGTCATATGATGTGCATGTTAGGAGAACGGTTTGGTTTAAAATTACGGTCATTTGAACTTTCATTTTTGCAAGTAATGTATAATACATGTTTAATCGTTAATATTTTAAGACACAAGTGTTAGTTTTTACTCTTGCTATTCATAAATAATTTGTCATTATTTTTCATCTTTACTATAAATGATCTTATTTATTTTGTCATCGTTCAATACTTGATTACGTATTCAGGGTCACAGAAGCAATTTACTTTAAGTTAAACAATACTGTTAACTAGTTGTCACTAATTATTGATGACGAATAAAAACTACAAAACTTGATCGAAGTATGCGCACGATATTTTTTGCGATTTGCATGCTTTACCGGCCAAAAAATTACATTATAGAGAAATATGGCATAAAATTTATAATTTAAATATCATTTATAATCTAATAATAGGTCATTTAAATCATTTATTAACGTACTAGATCTCTTACTGATATTTTTTTTTGTATCAGTTATTGCTTGCAACACACAGGTATAGTTGCTTAGGCTTTAGTTTATTTGTAGCTTGGAGAAATTCGAAGTTCCTTTGTAACTATATTTTGGATATAAATATCCGAACAGCGAAATATTTTTTGTTTTTTTTTGTTTGATTGGTTACAAAAATACCAAATCTCCTTTTAATATATTTTTTTATTTTATAAAGGCACACTAACGAAACACATACAAACACTTACAGAGAACACACGACATACTAAAACACATGCATGTGCACCAATGACAAGTGTGCACAACATTTAAATGGAAACATTACAATGATAAAATAGAAAAGAAATTATACATTAAAAAGAAAAGTCGATAAACTAATTAAGAAATACAAATATGCAATTTAAAAATTTAATATATTTCTACTTTGCAATTGTATTGGTGACGTATGAACAGTGGCTGCAGCATCTTACGCCTGAAGACATAGAGACTGTCATAAAATGGATCTGCTTCAAATGTACTCAAAGCATCGTTTACTGTAGATAGAGATCTGTTTTAAGGAGCATTACAACCGACGTTGGTCCTAACTGCCCGAACGTAAAAAAGGACTGATGTGTTTCTTGTTTCTCTTTAAGACGAAACATTTGGTAAGTTCCAAAAGGCTTAGTAACAATAGCCGTATCCATACAACAATTCCAAGAAGGTTTCACCTTAGTTAATGCATTGAAGACTGTTTACACAGTACCTAAGTATTGTTTAAGATACTAATATCTTAAACAAATGTTATCTTAATTAATATCCTGTTTTTTACTATATGCGCCAATAACACATATATATATTTAAATTTATAACTAGTTCGAACCAGTTTTTGTCCCTTTTTGTTCAACATTATAATAATGATCGAATAGCGCCGTTTTATTTGCTAAAATGGTGACATTATTATAAATTCAAGGTTACTTGAAACAATGAATTTACAATAATAATTTTTATATAGAATATTTCTATATACAATATTTCTATATTTAAAAAAAATTGGTTGTACATTAGTGTTTATTCTCAAAATATAATTTTATATACACGAATGACAGATTAAAAAAATGACAGCTGCTAATAATTTAAAAAGTATAGCTTGACATATGACATAAATATATTATTATTAAATAGATTACAGATGAATAATATATTTTAATAAAAAGAAAATCCAATTATCAAGTCAAAATTAGTAGGTATTTTTAATTTTGCGGATTTAATTAAATTTATGTTAGTTTTAGAATACCTTACCAAGCAAATGTGTAGAATTTATGTCAATTAACACGAGGTAACATAATAATCATAAAACAAAATCAGTGATTATTATTTAAACTTCTAATAAATAACCATTTTTCATACCTACCTACATATATTTACATATTTATTGACGTGTATACACATTAAATTACAAAATTAATAATTAATATAAATTAATTCTTTTTTCAAATATTTAATTAACTTTTAATTATTCTCTTGTATTGGGTTTTAAGCATTAATAGTTAGTTATTTTGCATTTAAATTAAACATTATGACGTCATAACTGATGTTGTTTATTGAAATAATTCTATTTGAGTCGTGCCGTTATGTTTACAACTAAGAAACATCGTTTACGTTTGAATGTGTCACTAAATTCTGTTTACGCAAAATTTATATGTAGTATAAAAAAAAATATCAAATGGCATTACGTCAAAAATGTATAGGATTTTCACATATCACGCTCACATTTCACGTTAAGCCTTACTGAATCTAAGGATTAGAATATAGCGATGCGTCTCAGGCACAGTAGGCTGATCAGTGATCACATAATTGTCAATAAAAAAAAATAAAAAAAAAATCTAAGAAAACTCATTA